CGAGTAAAAATTTGGACTTTTTCCTGATGATTGGATTTTTTTGGACAGCTTTCTTGAGGGATTAAAGTCTAAACAAAAACACAAAATATGTCTTTTAGCTTTCTTTAGGTAGTAATAATCCCCCGTGATTTTTCTTTGTGCCTCGGTTCTTTTCCATGGGATGTAGTTTGAACCGGGTAGTAATTTTTTTTTTCTTTTATTCTTTTTAGAGTTGGACTTAGGAAAAATGGAGGAAGAAAGATGTGATACACCTAGGAGCCCTTGACTTGTTTGATAGTAGCATATTTAGGCTTTGGCATACGTAGTATCTTCCCTATATGCTATAAAATGTTAATGATGTCTTGCTTAGTTGGATAGCATGTTTTGTGATGCCTATTTCTCGTTTTCTTGACTTATGTTTACTTTGTGCTTAATGCTTAATATCTCGTGGCTCCGTAAATACTTACATTGTTTGGGGATCGGAATGGGATCATCCTCAGTGAGGCATGTGCCATGTGTGGCGAGATTTTTGTGTAGTCCATGTATTGTACTTGTGTCTAGAACTTGCCCGGTATGTGAGTTGAAGCGAAATTTTAGGTGATGCTCGGTTTGAGAAATGATTTTAGGCTTTCTTTGATCTTTTTGAGCTCAATTGCTTACCACAAATAAAATTTATCCCTAGTCAACCCTTTTGAGCCTATAGACTTTTATTTGGCCCCCACATTACAAGCATATACCCTTTTTGTTCTTAAATTGACATTGTTTTGATCCCTTTTCCTCTTAAAGCACTTTAATTGTGAGCTGAACACTAAAAGAAGTAAGAAGGAACGAAGTGTGGGGTGGCTTTTGAGTGGAACCAACAAAAGGAAGAAATGTTTACTTGTTTTTTTAAAATAATACACCACTAGCGGAAATTGAAAAAAAAAAGAATAATCTGGAAAAAAAAGAAAAAAAAAAGAAAAAAAAATAGATATGAATAAATTGTTGTCTTGTTCTTGCTAGTGGGTATGAATTAATGTAGTGCTTAAAGAAGAATGGAGCATTTTTGGGGTGATATTATTTGTAAAATTGAAGTGGTGTTGAAGAATTTGCGCTTAACGTTGATTATGTGATGTGTTAAAGTGCTTAGGAGGGTTAGTCACTATTCCTAAATATATCCTACCCGTCTCTTAGCCCACATTACAACCATGAAAAAGACCTAATTGATTTTAGATCGAGCGAGCCTACATTAGTAGAGATTTACATTAAGGGCAAGCCTGTGGTACCAATTACATGCATGTGACTTCTTTTGTGAGGGTGAGCGATTTTCTTTGATATATGTGAGCATGAGATTCGAAAGTGTGGATTGATTTTACTTTCTTTGCTTTGGTTGTGAGGGCGCATGGTTTCACGAAGGATAGGTAACATTATTAGACTTCTCTAGGATGTTGGGTGTTCAAGCCATGAGTGCATTGTGACATTGAGTCGGTTTTTGAGGCTAGGATTGTTGTGAGCATATTGTCTTTATTTGAATATTTTTGAATAATAACATAAGTAAATGGAAGTGTATGATGATTGCATATGCTAGAGTTTAATTGTTGCTATCAACCATAATCATTGGTGTAGTGTGCTTCGAATATGTTAAGTGCTCATAGATAGAGTAAATTTTTGGTTGACTCGAGGATGAGCAACGTTTAAGTGTGGGGTGTTGATGATAGGCTATAATTACGTATTTTAGTCGATTACTACACTCTAATTTACTGCACTTTAGTTGAGTTTGCGCTTTAATCGCTAGTGTTTTGCACTAACTGTGTGTTTTATGCCTTGTAGGAGTGATTCTGAGCTATGTAGATGATATGGAATGAATTCAAGTGATTTGGAGCTTTGAAGTCTGAGTAAAAGTTCAAGGAATTAAGCCGGGATCGTGTTTGGGGGTCAACGGATGATAGTTAGAGCGAGCGAAGACTCCAGTAGGCATATTGTGCACTGTCTAGTAAAGTAGACATAACTTTTTTCTCAGAACTCCATTTGGGATCCACAATATATGGTTGGAAAGCTAACTCAAAGGGCTACAACTTTCATGGTTTACATTTTTCCAAATTCGAAACGGAACAGGGTGAAATATGCGCGTCAATAGCGCGATCGCGCTCAGGTCGCGCTCGTCAGGCAGAACACTGGGCCACTAGCGCGATCGCGCTAGTCAAACCCAGGAAAAGTGTCCTTTTTCATATTGGAGAGGGTATAATTGTTTGGTCCCAACCCTACTTGGTATATATACATGGAAAAATGGTATTTTGAAGGAGGAGGGCGTTTTTGAGAGGAAAACACAAGCACAGAGCCGCCGTGGAGGCCGGGTTTCATCTTTTCTTCCACCAAACTTAGTAATTTTTATGTTTCTTTGTATGATTTATTGTTTTGCTACCATGTCTATGTGGAGCTAAACTTCACGTTCTAGGGTTGTGGTTATTTTTGTTTATAATCATACAAAACTTATGTTATGCTGATAACGTGAGGGATTAAAGAAATGTAACACTTGCCTGAAGAAGATCACTAATATTGACAACGAGAGCTCCTGGAGTAGGGGGAACATTTACCCAATGGTTTTGATGTACAACTTGGAGGCCGCCAATATTGTCTTGGAGAAGCACAGTGAGGAAGCTGCTATCAGCATGCTTACTGGTGCCTAGGGTAAGTTCTGGTTGCGGGCATGCTGGATAATAATGGCCTATAGCAAAAAGCCCCTCGGTACAACCCATATCCTTGAGGTGATTTGGTTTGAGATCAAGAGCCTCTGACACTAGTTCAAATAGAGTGTTTGCTAGTTTCATCACTTGGTTTGTGTACTCAAAGAGAATATCCCTATCGCAGGTACACAATAAGCAAATTATGACATATCACATTAAAAATTTTAGAACTAATATGAGTCAAATGGGCGAGTTTAGCCTGACTTTGGGCAGGTCAGAGTCAATAAATGATCCACACAAAAGTTACTTGGGCTGGTTCAAGATGGGCTAAAATTTGGGTCATAGCTCAACCCACACAACTCTTACCAAGCTTTAATTAATATGAGTTGTTTACTTATGAATTATATAATTACTAAATAAGACTTTTTTTCTTTTGTTATGTTCATATATAATATATCAAACAACAAAAAATATTTCTAAGATATTTTAACAAAGTTACTCATGGATCAATTTGTAAAAATTGCACGGGGCGCCCTATTTGGTGAAAGAATTACAAGAAAATACACATGACTTCACACCATAACAAAAAATGGCCTATGTTTTTAAATTTTACCCTATCTAGCCCACATTGTACTTTTGAAAGCATTAACAAATTTAAAATCTGTGTTCTTACAACCATTGCTTCTAAAAGCTATGGAGTTAAATCTCACAACTATCGCTTTCACTCACTCTTCTTCTTACATCTTCTACATATGCTTCAAGGGGCCGTGTATTTTCTACTTCTCCCCCCATTTGCAATGTCAGAAAATTGAAGAGTAGAAGTCCACCATCGAAGGCCATTCAAAGCTTTGCTTTCGAAAATAGGATTTTTTGAGTTTGTTAGTTGTTTGGATTGGGTGTTGTTCCAATTGATTAAAAATATTAAAAGGAGTTAAAAATTTAAATTTGAAGTGATTTGGAGTAGATTTGAACAAGATTTGAGTTAAATTTCAGAAAAGACGCAAGGTAGAAGACGAAGTCAGTTTTTTGTATAATAGTGTATATGAGTGTATAAACATATCTTATACAGTATTATACTCTTTTATACACCTTTATACAAGCGTTTGTAGACGAACTTCTTTCACGATTTTCAGTTACAATTCTTGTTCAAAACCAATCCAAATCTCCATTAAATGACTTCAAATTTTATATACAACCTCCTTATACTATTTCTAACAAGTTTGAATAACACCCACTCTAAATTTCTCACAAAATCAAACTCGAAATTTAAACCCACATATTTAAGCTTGTTAAAAATTTAATTTTCACCTCCCAAATGGATTTGGTTTGTTGAATTAATATTTGAGTCACAGTTACTGATTCAAAATTAACTTAAAAGCTTGAGAAATCTTTTTAAAAAATTAAATAAGGCGACAATCAAAACACATAATACACTTAATGGGGAGATAAAGCAATTAAAGGCTCAAGTAGGCCTCCTCATTTAGAGAAACGAATTGTTTAGCACGTCTTACACATACTGTTTAAGTCCTTGATTAAAATTAGCGTAGGAAGAATTGATCTACCACATCTTTCCTAGATAGGGAGTCCGAATTAGTCCTGCTTAGATGTAGTTGCAGAAAACTGACGATTGATTAATTATCGAACTATCTATCAGCGTTAAACAGGGTCTATATGCATGATATCTATTAGTTCAAAGACGGGGAAGAACGAACTGATTGCAAAAAATATTAAGTTACAGGATCGTAAGTTCTGCGAGCACTTTAAACGAATTACTACTGATTTTAAAGGTGAATGGGCAATTTCAGATTTTAATCGATTACTCCTATAGGCATGCTTTCTAGGTGTTACGAATTTTGTTATGCAGAGATCTTCTAAGCAGGTCATTGGTATGATTGATTTATTTTAGGTCCTATAAGTGGAATTGCCTAATGACAGATGCACGTGCAGAAGTGCAGGAAAAATCCTATAGGCATATTATCTATGTGATGTTTAGAATTTAGCAGTGATTTATTGACATGGTATATATTACGAAGTGCAGAAAACCTATGAGCATGGTATCTATGTGAAGAATGCAGCATTTTAAAGTATTAATCCTATAGACATGGTTTCTATGTGAAAATGCAGAATTGAGAGAATATACACCCTATAGGCATGCTATCTACGTGAAAATGCAGAATTGAGAAAATATACACCCTATAGGCATGGTATCTACGTGAAAATGCAGAATTGAGAAAATATACACTCTATAGGCATGGTATCTACCCCTTTGTCATGCATTCTATCCCATCCCTTTTCACTATACCCCAGTAGTTATTACAAGGTTCATTACAAAGCTTATTACAGACCAAGTGAATCAAAAGAATGAATGAAAATACATCAGTGATTACATCTACATCTAATCAGCTTAATCCAGACTCCAAGTCTAATAATATGAGATAAACCAACTTCCAGGATCGGATTTTCAAAGCCTTCTCTTATTTGGGATGTGTCAAAGTTCCAAGGAACTTCAAGAGTTCTAGGCAGTGCTTACACCCCAAATATTATTGCAGAACAGATTATAGTGCAGTGTGGAACGGCCAGCCCTCAAGTGTCCAAGTTCAAAGGGAACTCAAGGTCCCAAGGCAAGGCTCACAAGAGGGGGGCAGGACTTTAAGGGCTTAGGAGTAAGTGTAAGTGCAATGAAAAGGAATTAGGGGGGAGCCAGGGCAGGCTGGTGGTCATGCCTAGCACCTGGGCTGCTGGCACACCCCTGACCAGCTTGCCAGCTTAAAAACTAGAGAGCTAGGACCCTTTGAGGGTCAGGTTCAGCCATGGACAGCAATTTAGAGGCTGCCAGGCCATACCTTAACTCTATGCACATAAGGGAAATGGGGTATGGGAGATTGAAAGAGGCTAGGATCCAAAGGACCCAGTCTTAATCCATGACAACAACTTTGTATGTTGCCATGTCATAACCTACAGCCCAAGCACATAAAGGGAATGGGGATAGGGATTCATTGCAGCAACAGATAGCCAAACATAAGTATTTATTTTAAAACTGAACTCTATAAAGTAGTAAATTAGGCATGGGCATAAAAGCTTGTAAGTAAAAACATTAGATTTGATGCTTGAATCAAAAGTAGGACATACCAGTTCAGAAGAGCAAGTAGGGAGAAACAGTAATTTTGGGGAGGCCAAATTGCAATCAAGAAGCAAGAGTGTAAGTTTTAGAAGAGATTTGTGAGGATTAAAATCGTGTGTGTGTTAATGAAAGAGCATGGTATTTATAATTGCAAACAGGTGTAGCAAATAAGGCAAGAATCACAGTTTAGTAATAATTAAGGAACTATGTACCAATTAAACCCAATCAGCCTATAGACTTCCTTTAATTAAGGAGTCCAAAATTCAAACGGTAATGGGCAGAAGTTATTTAAGGAAGGAAATCAAGTAAATACCTCGTGCAAGGTAGACAAATAAGGGTAAATACATAGTGGTACTTGATTGGTAAAACAAGGAAAGGGAATTAGTAAAATAACCAGTAAAGAATCCCATTGAAAGCCTTGCTCGAGTCAGAAAAGAGGTAAAAGAAAAGTTTTAATTTAGGGAAAAATCAGTAACAATCAAATAAGCAACATTAAAGGAATTCAGAATCAATTAACAGTTGGCAAGACCTTTGAAAGAGAAGCTCTCATATAAAACACATAGACATGCCAAGCAAGAGGGTTTCAAAATCGCAAACGCAGAAAAAGGTTCAAATTCAATTCATAAACTCGAAGTGAGTCTGAGAGTTCAAGGTTTCAAAGTAGAACCCTTGTCCAAACATAAAACCAAATTTAGCCAAAGAAAACCCCCAAATCCTAGGGTTTTTAAACTCGAATTTTATACAGATATGAAAAGGCAAACTATCGAGATAAGCTCGGAGACCTTTTCAGAGTCTCATGAGAATCATACAAGCACAATAGCAAGTAGAACATAGGAACCAACACAGGAAACAAGTTTCAAGAAAGCTTGAAAATTAAATGAGTTCAGGTAGTGTAAACTTAAAGAAACAGTCGATGAAACACATCTAGAAGGAATCCAGGCGAAGTCCGGTAAAGGCAAACAAAGGATCAAAACTCAGTAGGAAAATACAGTAGAGGAACACATAAGATAGACATGTGAGAGCATGGTGAAAACCAGTATGAGATAGAACGGAGCATAATAAAAAAAAATATTTCATAACAAGGCAAATATAAGAACACACGAAAAGCATGTGAGTCATAAAAAAGCCAGTGAGAACATAGCAGGGATCGATTCACACCAAGAAAAAGAGAAGACGAAGAGTCAGAAACATTTTAAGAACTTTCCAGAAACCCTAATCGAAAAGAAGCGCTTTTTTGAAAGAAAATCGGAGAAAAGGTTTAAGAAACTTAAGCAACAGTGCAAACATGTAACAGATCTAAAATAATCGGAGAGAACCTCGATATTTAGGGTTCCAGATGAACCCTAGAGATGAGAAAGGCTTCGAAAATACCCGATCTAAGTCGGATAATGTCATAAACAGGCTCAAAAGACCAAGAGCCACCGGGGCAAGGACGGAGATGGCCGGAATCTTCAAATCAGTGAAGGCCTGGGTGAAGACCCTCGAGGTCTGGCCTCGATCCTTCGAACAACAGGCATGCAGGAGCCATAGGAGGTGGGTATAGGCTGTCCATGGCCTGAGAAGCCATGGACGCCGGTGAAAACATGGTGGAACAAGGTAGAGGAGGCTAGGGTTCCGGGGAGCCTTGAGAGAATTTGGGAGTTCAAGGGCGGCTGAAGGAGGAAAATGAATTAGGGTTAGGGGTCGTCTGTGAATTAAAAAGGAAATAATCAATCTGAGCCGTTGATCTTCTAGATCAACGACTGAGATTAAAAGGGGGGATCCGGTCGGTTTTTTATGGATTGGGTCGGTTTGAAATTTGGGCCGGTTGCGAT